ACTCAAGGGCAATTGATTTGAACAAGTCTGGAGGGACTCTCTTCCAGGAAAGATTCTAGGTGAGAGAAATTTTGTGGTGTGAATGGACCTTGATCCACACCTGCAGCACAGAAGTCGAACAGCGGTCACATGCACACTGTGTCTCACACCTTATACTTCAATAAGCTTCAACATGCCCAATGGGCACGCCACAGAAATTGATTTAGCACCATTCTATACATGTATAAATGCAGGAGGAGTATTATTATTCCCTCTCTCTCTCTCTCTCTCTCTCTCTCTCTCTCTCTCTCTGTCTCCCTGTCAGCATATTTACTGTAGTCATAATATATCCAAATGTACGTGTACAATCTTTTCCTTTCTTCTTTTCACTGCTCTATTTTTATCTCTTTCTCCCATTCTCCCTCTCTCTATCTCTCTCTCTCTCTCTGTCTCTCTCTCTCTCTTTCTCCCTCTCTCTCTCCCTAATAGAATCCATCTATATTCATCTCTTCCTTTTCATTTAATGTATGTCTATCTTTTTAATTTTCTTTATTTCTAAATTCTAATGTTCACTATCTGATTGTCATCTTCCACTCTCTCTCTCTCTCTCTCTCTCTCTCTCTCTCTCTCTCTCTCTCTCTCTCTCTCTCTCTCTCTTTCTACCCCTCTCACCATCCATCCCACTTGTCTCTTCCTTCTCAAAATAAATGTATCTTTTAAGCATTTCCTTTCAATATCATTCTTATCTCCTATCCCCCCCCCCCCCTTTCTCTCTCTCCCACTCGCTCCCTTCCTCTCCAGCTCTCACCCTCCCCCCCCCCCCCCTTCCCCCTCTCTCTCTCTCTCTCTCTCTCTCTCCCTCCCTTCATGTTTTGTAGTTCTAGTTACACTCCCTGCACTATCTGGTTTGACACGGTTCTGTTAAGCTGTCCGAAGCTCATCCTCTTCCTTTCCATCAACTGAGATAAAGAGCTTTCGTTCTCATCATGGAAACAACCTTGTGTCCTTCCACAAATTAGCTCTCCCCCCCCCCCTTATGAATTTCCGTACAGAGCAAATACGTCAGTGTTACCAATGACAATTTTGTTGGATACTGTAATAGTGCAGGCATGCTTTCCATATCCATCGCCCATTCCACAGGCCCCTAGCCTTGCTGATGGATCAAGTGTAAGTTGGAGGAGGGTTGGAGGAGGGATGCAAGACCCCCCAAAAGGCAAAAATGTAGGCATTTCCTTGCCCAACCCCAATTCAACATGCCCCGGGGTGACAACTGAGCAACCCTTTTTAACCAGTATTGGAGTGAGGGAGGGGGGGGGGAGATGCGTGGTGGATAGCTGGCTCATAGTGTAGACCTACCCTTCCCCCACACATCTACCCCACCCCCCCCCCCCCCCCCATCCAAACTTCCAACAGACTTGATACTTGATTAACTATTTTATCCTGTATCAAATGGGGAGGAGAGAGATGCATGATAGACACGCAAACAAAGTATTCCCCCACCCTCATGAGCCACCAGGCTAGATGATTGGTCGACCCATTTTATCCAGCCTTATGGAGGAGGAAGGGGGTAAATATGAGGCTATAATGCATTCTTCCCTCACCCCACCCCCAAGCAAGCACCCAGGCTTGACGACTGATAAACTATTTTCAACTGGTACTAGGTGTCATGGAATCCATGTACAGTATGTATCTAAAGTTGCACCCCAAATCCTTAAAATGCACATCAAATATGCACCAATACTTCGGCATCCCATGGCCCAATAATTGATGAAAACACTTTTCATGCAATATTAGGTGAAGGACGGTTGTAGTGCAAATACATGTATCTAGCTAAATTACATGCCTGCAGCCCATCGTCTCTCCCTCCCCCATCCCCTGCATTACCTCCTCAACTGCCTCTTGGGTTAACGAAGAAGGTAGAGGTCTGAGTTAAGGTGAACGATAATTTTTGAGCTTTTTTCATTCTTTCTATATCAGTGTGGAAGAGTTTCCCCTGGAAAGGATGGCTCTTATCTCAATTAGATATGAAGCAGTTTAATTCCTAACATGCTTTAGGGACAGGCTACTGCACACAGCAAACTATACACTAACATAGCTCTGTGTTATGAGATATACAGTTGTAGAAATTAAGTGTATTATACACTTTACTTCATCACAAACAAATGGTGAGATTTACATCTTTGAATCTCTACAAAGCTTTAGAAATGTACATGTACAAAATAAAAGAATCATACCCTATCCCCAATCTTTCTCTCCCTCTCCCTTTCTCGCCCCCCCCCCCCCCTCCTCTCTCTCTCTCTCTCTCTCTCTTTCTCTCCCTTCCTCTCCCTCTCATCTCTCACTCACACTCTCTCTCTCTCTCCTTTTCTCTCTCTCTCTCTCTCTCTCTCTCTCTCTCTCTCTCTCTCCTTTTACTCGCTCTCTCTCTCTCTCTCTCTCAAATCCACTGTGGTTCTAATGTGTGGTGGAATATAAGCCAACCACCTGGCCAAACTGTGAGCCACATCCCACCACCTTCCCACCTTGCCATCCCCCGATCGTCCCCGCCCACCTGCCCGGGGGCTTAGTGATAGATTGCCTTGCTTCATCCAGTATGGAGGGATGCTAGACAAATACCACGCTAATAATCTAACCCTCATACCGTCACACGAAGCAACGTTAAAGGGCTAATCCATTCTTCCATGATTAAATGAAATTGGCTGATGCAAGCAGGCTATGGGAAAATTATACGAAACTCTTACATGTACATAGAGAAATCATTGTGTAGCAGAAGGAGCGTACAGACTACATATTAACTACATAATATTAGGAAACAAAATAATTTTAAAAGTGACATGACAGGCGACTAATCAGAAGTGCACACTCACGATAAGCCAATCCTTGTCATAGAGTGTTCATACGATACAACCTTCCCATTTAATAGAAAAGGACCATGATTCTTTATCACGTTTTCCATCGAAACAATACTTAAGCATGTGTTTCGCTATTCGACGTTCAGACTAAGAAAACGTAATTACTTTTAAGCTTTACATTTCTCAATGACTTCTTGTACTCTCGACCCAGGGCAAAACATATTCTTTTTAAAGAGATCAACGGACCAATTATGGGTGCACCCTCATGATAAGCAGAGCTGCCAAACTTGTGCGACCAAAAAAAGGAACCATGATGGCAAAAAAAAAGGAATTTCAAGCAAAAGTGAGGAATTCATTTAAACGAAACTTACAACCATACCCGACACACTTCCAATGCAGAAATGTCCATTCTTCATGCTGTTATTTCCATATTAGGACCGACCTGTTTATTAAAAAGTAGGTGTTTTTTTTTTGGAGGGGGGGGGGGGTATTTTGGTATTATCAGCGTTTCATTCTTTTTGAGAATATTTTCTCTTCAAGTATGTTTTAACCTTCCTGACTAAGTTTTCTATTGAAATAGTGATCAAAATCAAATCAACATTTTAGGGCATTTTTTTGAAATGCTGTATGTAAAGAAAAAAAATGTACTACCATAATTTGGAGAAAAAACAGAATAATTCCGGGAAAAATGTAATGGTTCGCAGCTCTGGATAAGCCACACCCACTTGTAGGATTTTTATACAATATAACATTCAGATTATAATAGAGAAAGTAAATACCAAATAGCTTTACGATTCTCATATGGCTGCGATAAATTCTGGTACATGGAGACGGAACACAGGGTCAGACAAATACCACGCTAATAATGTAGCCCTTATCCCATCACACGCAGCAAGGTTAAAGGGTGATTTATTCTTATATGATTAAATGAAATTGGATGATGCAAGCATGTGCTATGACAGTACAGTGACTCGATCTATTTCATGTTGTCCTACATACATTTGCAACATCAAATTAAAGTCCTAACATTTCTTGAAAGATACTTTTGGTGACAGAAAGATGACAGTTGTAAATGTGTACAGGTATGTAAATACAACTCCAGGTTTAAAGGTAAAGACCAGTTATGGTCATGCGATTGCATTGTGAAAGAAACGTTGTGGAATCGATCAAAAAGGTTGATCATCTAGCATCTAGCATCTGCAAGGTTCTGGAATCATCAAAATGATAAGAAATTTGGCCCATTCTTAGTAAAGTTACAAGCACTATACACAGAAAGATGTATATGGGACTACCCTATATCTCTCACAGACCATGAGAGAAACAAATTTACCAAATATATGAATTAGTAGGCGGTTTCCCGGCAAATTTTTTATCATCATGTATTAGTCAAAACATATGCTTTCACATAATTGGTAATGAGAGCTTCCATTTCATTTTTTGAAATTGGGGCATTTCCAATACTAGTCTTTACCTTTAAATACAACTCCAGGATAAATTGCACTTACGTGATGTATGATTCATTACTCATGCAATCAACTCAAAATGACTTTCAGAAACAGAAGATTCCTTTAGTCCTAGTTATTACATTTTAACTAGATGAAATTTAGGTAGTATTTTTTTTAATGATTTGAATAATCATTGAAATATTATGAGATGAAGCTTAATGCCCCCAACGTATTAAAGCCCCACTGCACTACGTAAAGCCACTTGCACCCTCTATATAACAAACAATGCCTAATCGATGACCGTTGGTCCCCTATGGTTCCCTTTTTCTTATGTTAATTGAGAGCTGATTTGATGAGATAACCACCTGTCACTGACAATGCAGGGAGGTCTAATCCCTCCTGGCCAAACTAGTGCAGATAGGCTTTAACTGTGATTGAAGAACGATGCTACATGGATGTAATAGAATCCTAAATCAATCATATCTTTAAAGTACTACTAATACTAATATTAATAATAAGTTCTTTCTATACCTCGAATTGCCTCTAAGCGGTTTCGGAGGAAAATAGTTGACAAGTAAAGGAAACAGAATTTGCATTACAAATTACATAAAATCAATTAACATTAAAACTTTGCAAATGAAAATAATACATGAACATGAACATAATTACAAATCACTTTCACCCAAAATACAAATAGTTCATAAATTAATAGTATCCTACTCACCTTTTTCCAGGCAAAGAAGCGACGACTTGTATATCGCCCCATTCTATCTCTTTATCTCCTTCCTTGATGTCACATAGTCTACCTCTGCGTAGGACCAGGTCCATGCTAGCTCCCCAGTCCCTGAAGGATGTCCTCCGAGCCTCACAGAAGGCAAGGAACACCCCGCGATGATGGACCAGGGCTGGGATCCGGAATGTGTTGTAACCATTGTCTCCCTGCCCAAAAACCTCTGTAAATAAAAGAAGAACAAAAGTATCTGGATATTAATATTGAAGGACTGTTTATTTCTAGTATGTGAGAAGCCCTGCCAAGAAACATGTAACCCCACTCCACCCCACAACTTATGCAAAACAAGGGCCCTTAGAATTACATTAGACAGGCTGCAAAGCTGGTATATCTCATACCTGCCAACATTTGAAAAAAAAGAATTAGGAATCTCTAGCACAGTATGCCTGCAAAAAATAAAAAATCTGTACCATTAAGAGGTGTTCGCGCATGCAGCGGCAGTTTAACTGGCACTACGCGGTAAATCTGAACCAAAAAGCCAATACAAATGCGCTGCTTGATCATGCAGCCATTCAACGCACGCAAAACGTGAACTCTCAAATCACGGCACATGATGAAGCAAGTTTGAATTTAAAATTGTTGAAAAATCTGAATATTCCGAATTTTTCGGTCCTAAAAATCCAGAAAATCAGAATATTCTGGATTATTTGAAAGGGTTGGCAGGTACATGTATGATATCTCCATGCCCCATGCCCACCCCCCCCCCCCACCCCCACACCCAGTGTGAAATGAAGACGAAGGAAATCTAATCAATTTGGAAAGGGTAAACAGTGTATGTGCCATAATGTGGATGCCAAGATAACCCCCCCCCCTCCCCTCCATACCCACACACACCCACACACTCACACCTCATGCAAAATGAGGGTTTCATTTATAGACAGACAGCAAATATTTGTGATTTATTTTTCATAAGACAGGATGATTGGATGTCGACCTTGGATCTGAGAGATTTCATCTAGCTTTATTAGAGGAATCATGTGAGTGTGAAATAGATGTGTATGTTCGACCGATCAAGCACAACTGCAGTCAGATCAGGAAAAAGCACCGCTTTATCTGGCCTATTCAGTGGCTTCAGTGCAATTTGATCTTGGTAAAATACGGTACAATTTCAATAGGAACTGTACGTCATTATTTCTGTTGAACACTGGACAATGTCAATAAATTCCAGCCTCAGAGCATACATGTAGATTTGATAATTAAATTATTCATACCCTTACCAAGTTTGCAATTAATCAAGTTATATGTGAAATTTGATTTGCCCCAGTTATCATTTCTTGAGAATGTGACATATTAAAGCTTACATCTAAAAGTATTCAACAAATGCCCTACTTCGACGAGTCCATGTTTCGTTCTTGAGTTACAAAACGCACAAATGCATCAAATTTGCAAAAGGAATGAATAATTTTAATAGTTCTTAACTGTATGTAGTATACAGCAGGTTAACCCATAGCAGTACAGTACAGTGTCTCCTTTTAGTGAAGTTTTTGCATCAGCTTTAAAGCCCGTCTGTACTAGTTTGGCCAGGGGGGATTAGACCTCCCTGCAAGGTCACTGACAGGTGGTTATCTTATCAAATCAGCTCTCAGTTATCTAAGAAAAAGGGGATCATGGGGGATCATGGGGGATCAACAGGCACCAATTGGGCATTGTTTGCTATATAGAGGGCGCAAGTAGCTCTAAGTAGTGCAGTGGGGCTTTAATTGACAAACATTGAAAATTTCAATATTGTTATTATCCATCCCAACTAGCGCCAAAGCAGGCTGGGTTGATGCGCTACAGAGCGATTCAGATAAGGTTTTTATCAGTTTCTTTTTAAATGTTATTCAACGTGAGTAGATTACCTACGACTAGTCTGCATGCAAAACCCCTCGTCAGTCGTTGTGAGTAACAGTGTCTGCACGATGAGACTAGGCTGACAGCATATTGCATAGGCTCTGTCATTAAGCCGCTCCGGACACAGCCAGAGACTGTCAGAGCTAGGCTCTGCTCAAGGCTTTAGGAATAGACCAGTTCACGGTTAGCACATTACTGCAATAACCCCGAATATCCACAGATCTTCAACACATGAAAAGGCCCCACTTTGAACATTTTGAAATAATCACTCCTACAGCGATGGAGGTGCTATCCTTTGTTTCCCCTTTTCAAAGAATACTTCCACCTGTGTATCATAGAGTGCACTGATGATGCACGAATTAATAATGATTACATAACTTTCATGAGCACGTATCCAGTATTTCATCTCGGTGTATTTTAAAATTTATTCTGCAATGACTTTCATCTGCTCATGCTCAGACTGCAACCGTGAACTAGCTTATACTGGTGAAGTGTCAAATTAGAGTCTGTATCTGCAGACTAACTCCCAGTTACCCTGTATCACGGTTGTATTTTGTGGATGGAGAGTGTTAAGCTCACGTTCGTGTGATGGCATTTTGGGTATCATTCCTGACTAAGCTCATAGCCAGTCACAGAGTGTTGGCTCAACTCTGTTTGCTAACCCTTCAGACACAGACCTACTCACTTTAAAGGCACTCCTCGCTCAGTTCTCCTAATGAAATTGCCTCTTAAAGGTAAAGTTGAGTTCTTGTCATGCGATTGCATTGTGAAAGAAACGGTGTGGAAGCGATCAGAAAAGGTTGATCATCTAGCATACGAGTATGTGTGTGTGTATGGCAAGGTTCTAGAATCATCAAAATGATAAGAAATTGGCGAAGTCTTGGTAAAGTTACAAGCACTGTACACAGAAGGATGTATATGGGACTACACAAACAAGAGGCGTAAAAATCTGTCCAGATTTTTACGATGTTACATGGCATATTAGAATATGAAGGCATTTGAAGAGCCATGCTTTTCAGGGAACATTTTGTATCTGATGTACTTGCATGGATACAATACAATGATTTTTTCAAAAATTATTATTCACCTTTTCCCAGAACTCAACCTTCTCAGGGAGAGGGTCACCAGTTTCAATGTGCAGAAAATCACGATTCGCTGATACCAGACTTGGTGAAAATACTATTGATGGGTCTGCACACAGCATACCCGTAGGCCAATCAAGAAATACCCCCATGCCTCTCGGAGAGTCTTTGAGTGATAATAATCTTTGTATAATGCAAATGTCAGATAATGACCTTATCACATGGAGAAAAGACAGAGCATTGCATAAAGCCTGTATGTTCGCCATAAAACACCTGTTATTGGGTAAACACCCAAACAGTGTCAAATTCCCCATAAGAGCCCACTTCTATGTGTGTTTAAAAGCATCGTTTAACAATGTTCAATCTGAGATGCATGGCCCTACGTGTTATCAGAGTCTGTGATATGGTGTAATATTGAAGCCTTAAAAAATGGCTTCAAAATTATCATGAAGCTAGTGCCTCAAAAAAGTAAAAATCTTTGACTGACCAGTTTTACCATACTCATTTTCCCCAATAGACTGGAGTGTTATAAAAAAAAATGTTAGGAAAATGATAAATGAAATTTTGATTTCCAATCATAAATATCTTGGTAAAAGTCGTGGGATTCCTGACTGCCCTAAAGGTTTATAATTATGATTGCAGCATGTATTAAACTTCAAGATAACATAAAGTTTGGTAGCCACGAGTGCGGCCATACGGTCTTAAAATTAAATAACGGACTGTCGTTTAAACCTCTCCAGTGTGTCTTCACCCAAGATGCCTATCTAAGATGCATCAATCTAAATTGAGCTCCTGGTTTAATTCTCTATGGTGTTGTGGCTGGTAAAGCTGGTCATTATTAACAGTTAATATCTAGAGGCTATTACCCGGTTCAACCACGTTAATAAATATTGAATGAGGTTCAATTGAGAGCTTTGATCATCATTCTTAAAGGAAACTTCACCCCAAAGAATAGTGTACATACATGTATGATGAAAGGTGAATTTTAATCCTGCATTTTGAACTACGATGTTCCTTACAAAAATGTACAAGATATAAATGAACTTTGAAGGGGAATCTTGTATATTAGTAGGAAAGAATTTGACAAATCCATCAAAATAACTAAACTTATTTTGGGGGGTTAGATTTGGTATGGTCTCCCCCCCCCCCTTAAAATTTTACCAATTTTCTCTTCTATTTTGGGGGGGTAATTCAACTTGCTGTGATTTTTTTCTCTCCTAGTGAAATATTAGCATGCCATGGGAACAATTTTAGATGCTTATGGGAATAAGAGAATTAAGTAGTCCACCTGTTGAAGTAAAACTAAAAAACTAAAAATGATTTAAATCCCAGGATAAGTCTAATGTTAATTCCAACAAGTGACTGACATGTCTAAAACTCTTTGAATTGTGTTTCTTTCATATGTTATGTCATATATGAAAGCAAGACAAATGCAACTACGTCTCCTATATGCCTCCGCCCTAAATTCAGTATCTATAGGAAATGGATGGAATTATTTGTGACATATCACAATGAAAACAAAAAGCCAATAATCAAATATCAACCAACAATTATGATCTTGACCTAGCTACCCCAAAATGTAATTGGATCATCTTCCTATATAGTAACACAGTATATTGCAACAGCAAGGCTAAAAGCCTTTAATGATTTTTAATTATCGTCACCTTAACACGCAAGTGAATGGGAGCCTGAATTCTAAAGGCGTGTGAGCCCGACGTGACTTTCCAGTTTTCACGACGTTAAATGATACATGCGGGAGGTGACATCAGCAGATTCACAGACTAGTAACACGATTGGGAGGGCTACGTGTGTGCAAGTGATAAAGTGCATCGAACCCCCTAACTATGATGTGATTTTAATGAAAGCTGCTCCTCTCTTTTATATCTCATTATGAAGGGGGCAACTAAGATTTTTTTTTTTCACTCAAAGACTAAAAACGTTCCGTGAGAGAAATAAGATTACAGTATCTTTGACAAGATGATGACCATTTGCTGAAAATGTTCCCTCAATAGTGATACATGTTTTATATTATATTATTCCTAATGTGTAAATAACATCTCAACTTTCACTGTTTATAAACCACCTAGATACCTTTAATAAAGATTAAACACACTGTAACATGTACTGTATATCCATTCAATACAGTAAATATATGAAATCAGAATGTGATTTTACAGTCTGCGCAGTTTTATTTTTTCATAGTCACTTTTTGCACACTAAATGTTATCATTGGGTGGCCTTTATAGAC